ATTGGTCCTTTCTTTTTTGAGGAAAACATTAATGCGCAGAGGTTTCTAGAATTTTTAAACACACAGTTTTGGGATGCTATTCACGAGCTGCCAATTAATGAACGATCAAATTAAATTGTCCAGTATCTAACTGGACAATTACGAATTACGAATTTGAGAACGTGTTCAATGTACTACGACCAAAAATGTTCAAACAGAACACAACTTTCAGTTATGTTAGATCTGAGCAATAGCTTGTTGTGGTCTCCGACCGTTTACACATAGCTGTGTTCACAGAAACACAGACAAAACACCGAAACCTTTTGATATTTCCGCCTGCTGACGGGACATTTCGTTGTTGACAAAATTAGGCGCCCGCGACACAAAGTCTTCAAAATGTTTTTTATTTTGACAACTTGAGTTTTTGTTTTGTCGAAATCGACACATATGCCGTTTTGTCTGTTTGGTGGAAATCTTCTACTTCCTTGATAACTACAGAAGGCAACTTGTCCGGCCTCACACAGCGTCTGCAGTTGAATTTATGGCCGTTTCATTACTCTTTTTTGCTAGTCAGCGAAACAATAATCTCATCCCCATTTTCATTGTGCGGAGGGTTGGAAGTGAATCGCTTGCCGTTGGCAATTATTCGAACTCTCAAAAACTTCGTTAATGCCGAAGAGACCATAAAACCGTTCCATAGCCGGATACTACTAAAATCTGACGCTACCAACCCTCCCAGTGCAATATTCCCTAAGCAGTGGCGTAACTTTGGTAATTTTTCGTTATATTTCTGAATTCAATGAGCATTTTTATTGAAGTATCTTTCACCATTTATACAGTGATTGATCGACAGTGTCTGAAAAATCGGAATCGTAAAACTTATAGTCCATTTACTTGAGCAGCGGAGTAATGAATCATTTTTAAAGAGTTTCAGCAAGTATTTTTGAATGAATACCCAAACGCACGCCACTGCAGGTAGTTAAACGACCCGACAGTTTATGAAATATTTCGCTTGCGACCCATGTGCGAAACAAAAATAGGGTGGACCTGATAAAGGATAAAAAAAACAGCCTATGCCAGCTATGAAAAATCATAACAATATAATAAAATTCTGTTAGGACAGTCTGCTAGCGTTTTGGATTTAAAATAAGCATTATTCACTTCTCGCTTCTAAGAAACAGTGTATAGAGTTCCTCATGATCATTGTTCTCAATTGTTTCATATTTTCTTCATTGCGTTGGAAAAGTTTCGGCACTGTACAAATGCGCCACTAAGGCAGTAAACTGATAGGTTATCATGCATTGCACTATTGAATTTCGTTGTAATCCTCTACTTAGGGGGCAAATGTAATAGCGTAGTTCCATCTGAATGTTTCCGATCACTGGGAGTTGTCCACGTTTTACCAACCCTCGAGCTTTTCGGATTACGAGTGTCAGATTTCATTTTTCATTCAAGTAGTAAATTGTTTGAGAACTACCAGTTTTCTTCGTTATTGTCTGTATTTTATTATAAGAAAATGTTTTTGTTCACTTGAATAACTGAATAATATTTTTGTAAAAGTTTCCACAAGAATAAAAGAGCATACAATTTGTTTTTTAGTGGGGAAGACCAACTTAACATTTGCTCAATGCTCAATAATCGAATATATTTTAATTCTTTCCCTTGAATTCAGGTTGCAACTAGGAAATTAGTTATGTTAGGTTAGGTCTAAAGTGAGAGGGGTGTATGCGACCCTCCACCGCAACTCGCAAGGGTTGATTGTGGCTTAGGTTCCTAGGCAGGGACCTAAGCTGGAAATTAGTAGTCAGGACAGATCTTAAAGTAGATAAAATGATAGCTTAGGTAAAAATTGTTTTCATCATTCTCCAAGATAGGTAAATAGTTTGGGTAATGAATTTATCGTGTAGAAATTCAAATTACCTACTATAAAAGCACGATACAGAATTTGTACCAAACAGTATTGTGACGCCTGAAGATGCTATCGAACTCATAGCGAAACATCATGTTGGATTTGTAAATTTTCAAGCGCAAATCTCACATTGAAGTGTGTTTTTTGAATATATTATAATGTTATGATTCCTGATTGCATTTATTTTGTTATCGTTCTCCAGATTCTAGGTCTAAATGCTAATTTGTATTTGTTTCATTTGGCTCGCTCCTGCCCTGGAAAGTCACCTCTGTTATTAATTACTGAAATTAATCTTCTCCGCGGGAAATATAATTATAACTTCTAGTGAATCATTCACTTGAGAGTAATTTATAATTACAAGGACTAAAATCATTAATGGCGAATTCTTTCGCTGTGCTCTATGAAGAATTGATTTTCCAAAAGCTGCATTTCGACGATTATGAAATCAAATTCAAAAGATTTTGTAAGTCTTATCGAGATAGCTGTAGTAGAATCAGCTAAAAAAAGGCCTGCTTATTGCACTTTATCATTTGATGTATTCATAAGCAACGTACTAGATGAATCAAATATAAACGAGACTTTTTTTGGTAATTCATTTTTATTTTGAAAGCAAAAAAGGATATAGTTTCATTTTCTACATAATCCCCTGATTTGGAAACACATTTTTCCCAGCGGATGGGCAGCTTTCCAATTCCTTCCACGTAGAAAGATGCAGGTCGTGTCTGCTGCCAATTAGGCACGTAGGCTTCAACCTCAGCATCACTATCGGATCTTTGGCCTCCAAAGCTTCCTTGAGATGGCCAAACACATGAAAGTCACAGGGTGACAGGTCTGGACTGTAAGGAGGGCGTTCCAATGTTTCCCACCCCTGTTGCTCCAGTTTTTCCCTAGTCAAGGCTGCTCTATGCGGGCGAGCATTGTCATACAGAAGAACCACTTCCCTGATGGATAGGTATCTTCTTTTGCGGCGATATGAAAGTCGGACCTCACTCAAACCGCCGCAGTAGTAGGCCGCATTAAATGTCCTGCGCTCGTGCAAACAATCGAGATACAGCAATCCACGCTGGTCAAAAAACGGTAGCAAATACCTTTCCAGCCGACAAACGTGACTTGGCTTTCACTGGTCCAGGTTCTCCCTGTTTTCTCCACTCTATACTCGCTTGTTTACACTCTGGGGTGTAGTGGTGCTCCCATGTTTCATCACAGGTGATAATGTGAGTGTGAAATTGGTCCCTTGTTCCTAAAATCGTGCAAGAAGACTGTGAGAAGAACTGAGAGAAGGCCTGGCGCACACCTTACGGTACCCTAGCTCATCTGTGAGAATGGAGTAAGTACTCCCATAACTTATCCCGACCTGAATTGCAATTTCAGAAGTGGTACGACGTCTGTTATCTTCAATAAGCCGTCCAACACTGCTGATGTTGTTCACTGCAATGCCGGTGCGAGGTCCACGGTAGCGGCTCTCATTGTCAACACGATCACGACCCTCCACAAACTGTTTATGCCATGCAAACACTCTGGCTCGCGACAGTGTCTCTTCCTCGAACTGGGCAGTCAATCTCTCCAAGATTTCGGCCAGTTTTACGCCTCCTGCGGCGGTAAACTTGATTACAACACGTTGCGCAATTGACGGATGTTTCTTTTGCTCCGACATTGTAACGGTGGACCCTGAGAGGGTCGAGGTGGCGGGCCCACGTTCTTCCTCTACTCCTGACAAACCTACCCAACAACGAACATAGCGGGAACGTTCTCCCTCCACTATTGTGCCTCAAGGTCGAAAAGTCGTGATTTGGGCCTGCACCCGTACAAAATCCAACTGACCCAGGAACTGAAGGTAAACGACCAAACACAATGACGTGAGTTCGCTAAATGAACTCTGGAACAGTTGGAAACTGACCCTAATTTTCATCGAGAGGCCCATTTCTGGATTAATGGTAACGTGAGCAAACAAAAGTGACTGCTTGGTGACCCCAGGTACAACGACAAAGTAAAAATCGAATGCCTAGACTAATGCCTGTCTTATTTATTTTCCATCGTCGCTAATTTTAGCCGCAGTAGCATTTGCCAGAATCACACGGAAGACCGTAATTTATAACGAGTTCCGAGACGATATTATTTTGCCCGTTTTTTCTTCGTTATTACGTAAACCGGCCGTATGAATATGTTTAGCGTAATTTCTGTAGTCCAGTTCGAGAGTTTAAGTTCAAGACCAGACAAAGAAACTTTAACAACTATAAGTTTCAATTATTTTGATGAGGACACACACAACAGTAGTTTTTTTGAAAGAATATTTCTTCAAATGTTGGATTAATATTTATAAAATTTTTAGTCACAGTGTTAGTAGCCATACTTCTCGAAAACGGCTTAACCGATTTTCATGAAAGTTGATATGTATATTCGGTAGGTCTGAGAATACGTTTTGATCTATTCTTCCTACCACTCACTGATTTTTCTGAGCCACATTTGTAGTTTTAATTTTTTTTATGATGTGACATTAAAAAATACATATTACCCTCAATGTTTACCCTTCTACCACCAACCCCTATTTTTAATTAGTCATTTTAGTAATTTAATCACTTCAACCCTGATCATAGATCAGTTACTTCCTCCAGGTGTCACTTCTCACTCAGTAATCAGCACAGAGCCGGTCTCCTGTCTCTCTCACAAAATCAGGCTTCCCTCACTACCTACACAGTTTTTGACCACTATTATTGGTCATCCATTGAGCGTAGATACAGTTTGTGATGCCATCGAAGCTGCGAATTAACCAACAGTGTGTTTTTGAACTCATTGGATTTGCCAGGCATGCCACAGCATAATTCACAACTGAAGGTTGGACCGCTCCGTAATTTGAAACCACCACGGCTGTGCAACGGCACGTGATTAGTCAATAAAAAATTAATGAACAACGTTGTCGAAACCAGATTTTAAATGGCAAGTTCCGAGGTGAAAATATATTGAGTCCACGATTCCTTTTTATACCTTCAGATGTCGAAAGGCCCAACAATGTCCGTTTTTGGCTTGGGTTTGAGCACACCATGTTTTTCACACGGAATCATATGTGGCATGCTGTCGAGTGACCGTGAGTTGGGCTACCTATCGGGCGCGTCCCCAGGTGGCGGATAGGGGAACGGCCAGGGGACTGGAGGCCCTGTCCGGGGAGTCAATGTGGCCTTACGGACGGACTCTCTGGACCCCTGGTCGGTGGCCGAAATAAGTAGGGTGAGGGGAACTAAATCCCCCAAAAGCCTCTGCAAAACATGCCACCGTGGACCAGCCTACCCAAGCTAAGGTTTAAGGAATCGTGCCGACAGCTGAATGGCCGCAGGGTGATATGCGGTTACGAATGATCCCTTTGGGGAACTGAGCGAAACCTCATTGTAATTAGCCTACCTCTGGTAATGCGGAGCTCTGCCAGAGGTGACCAACTCTTCCCTTGCTACTCATGGGAACACACATGAATGAAACAAACACAAAAACAGAAACAACGAAAAGCGATCCCGAGGATGGACAGAACTGCTCACCTCAATCTAAGAAGGTGGCTGGGGATGAACAGAAATGTCCACCCCAATCTACCGCTTGGAATACAGATCACCTCGTGATGTAATGCAAAGTCCAAGGCGTAAGCGCATTTGGGGCGCCGAGGCAAAAGAGGAGAGAGAGCTAATGTGGCAGGAGTGGCAGCAACTGTAAGTGCACCCTCCTCCTCCACTCCACCTCCAACAGCAAGGACACTTCCTGCGCTGGGCGCCAAGAGCTGCGCCTTGAATAAATGCAAGAAACCGGCGTCCACTGCAGGAAAACTCCCTCACTTGTGCACCTCCACGGAGGGAACCCCAAGAAGGTTGAAGAAGCCGCGCAACGACAGTAATGTCGCTGCACCTTCCAAAACCTTCGCGGAGGCCACCGTGTGACACCTCAAGGTTGCCAAAAAGGATGTGTGTTCGGCGAGTCTTGGTCTACACCTGCCAATATAAAGGGGATGTCTCCTAGTGACCTGTCCACCTTCCTGGAAAGGACAGGATGGACAATGACATAGGAGGACAACTTCTGGGAGGATGGAGAATGGGTCACATGTGGCCTAAGTGCTGTGGGCCTACACTCAATCTCCCTACTCTACAGTGGGCAAACCACCCGGTTTGTTTGTATTAGCTGAACATGGACTAACGGAAAATATTGTACACGCTATAGCATTAAGAGATTAATATCATTTGTGGGTGTTTTTGTTCTGATAGAAATGATTTATGTGGCAAAATAACGTTTCCCCGGCTAGCTAGTATCTAATATAAAATTTTCAAAAAAAGCTGGTGATTTCTTTGAGTATTTTTTTTTGCTCGGGGCTACAGCTTTCAAGAAGCATTTGAAAGCTCAGCTTTTTCGTTGTGGTTTTGTTTGTTTGGTGGAAATCTGCTATAAGAGTTCTTAATTGTACATCAAAAATTTTCAGTCCTTATGTTTGCCTTTGGTGCCATCTTGTTATTGGATCTGTATCTGATGGTTGGAAATTTTCGTAAATAGACGAATAAATAACTAAAAGGTTACTTTCTTTTGTGTAGTTCACTTTTGACAGTACTATCAACGTCTTTAACCAGTTTCTGTTGTAAGTTTATACACACAGATCGCATTTTTACTATTAGAAAAACGCTGGTCGCGATTTAATATTCGCGCTACGATTTTGTTTTCTGCTTTTACGCTGAACACAGGAAAGCGTTGGCTATCATTAGATCGTAGTTTGTTTGTGTTTATACAGGATATGAAGTATTACGGCGTAATTCACTTGTTTCGAGGTGTTCAGGGAAACTTTCTTTTGCATTCGGTATGTACAGAGTAACGGCTTCATCTTTACTGAATAGCTTGATTGCTTCCGGATTTGAAGTAACATCAGTGATTGATGGCTGTCAAGACAAACGATTACTTGTTCAGATGATGTGTTTTTTATAAACATTCGCTTGTCGCAGATAGTAAAAACGCTTATACAGTTGACAGAAACTAATTTCAAACCACGATTTTATATGAATGAAACATATCAATTGGCGTATAACATACTTGCGATCTATAAAAGAATTTGGTCTATATAAAACATTTCATTGCGGTCTATAAAAAACGGCTGCTTACGATCTATAAGTAATGGCGGTCTATAAGAAACATCGGCTTGCGATCTATAAAAGACTTTGGTCTATATAAAACATTTGATTGCGGTCTATAAGTATCGGCGGTCTATAAAAACCGCTGCTTGCGATCTATAAGTAATGGCGGTCTATAAGAAACCGCTGCTTGCAGTTTAGAAGAAACGGCTGTCTATCAAAACATCTGATTGTGATCTATAAAAAACGTTGGTTTATATGAAACATTTGATTGTGGTCTATAAGTTACCGCTGATTGCTGTCTATAACAAACGGTGGTCTATAAGAAACATTTGCTTGTGGTCTATAAAAAACTTTGGTCTATATGATTGCGGTATATAAATACCGGCGGTCTTTAAGAAACGGCAGTCTATGAGAAACATTTGCTTGCGGTCTGTAGGAACCTGCTTGCGGTCTGTAAAAATCTATATTCGATGAATCTGGAGAGTCATGAATGAAAATAATCTAAAAAGTCATAGTTTCTTTGGCCATATATCCGCTTGCGATATATTAGAAACATCAGCTTGCGGTCTATGAGTAACGGCGGTCTATAGGAAACCGCTGCTCGCAGTCTATTAAAAACAGCGGTCTATAAGAAACATCTCTGGTATATATGAAACATTCGATTACGGTCTATAGATAACGACAGTCTATAATAAACTGCTGCTTGCGGTCTATGAGAAACATCTGCTTGCGGTCTCTAAGTAACGGCTGTCTAAAAGAAACCGCTGCTTGCGATCTTGAAGAAACGGCAGTCTATAAAAAACATATGCTTGCGGTCTATAAGTAACGGTGGTCTATCAGAAACCGCTGCTTGCGGTCTCTAAGCAACGGGTGTCTGAAAGAAACCGCTGCTGGCGATCTAGAAGAAACGGCAGTCTATAAAAAACATCTGCTTGCGGTCTATAAGTAACAGCGGTCTATCAGAAACCGCTGCTTGCGGTCTCTAAGTAACGGCTGTCTAAAAGAAACCGCTGCTTGCAGTTTAGAAGAAACGGCAGTCTAAAAGAAACCGCTGCTTGCGATCTAGAAGAAACGGCTGTCTATAAAAAACATCTGCTTGCGGTCTATAAGTAACGGTGGTCTATAGGAAACATCTGCTCGCAGTCTATAATGAACGGTGGTCTATGAGAAACCGCTACTTGCGGTCTATAAGAAAAGGCAGTCTATCATCTGCTTGCGATCTATAAAAAACATTGGTCTATATGAAACATTTGATTGCAGTCGATAAGGAACGGCGGTCTATAAGAAACGATATTCGATGAAGCTAGAGAGTCACGAACAAAAATAATCTGACAAGTCATAGCGGTTCAGGCTTTACCTATATTCAAGAATATGCAGATCATTGGTACAATGAAATAACGCCACAGACTCTTAATTTACTCTAGTCGAGGCCGCAGACTGGCTGGAAACACTCCTCGAAATCAAGTGGTGCTAAAAGCACTGCAGAGAGCGCCATACATCTGTTATCTGACATCGATTCACTAATTAACGAGTATATTTAGTTCCGTTCCGCGACCACGGACAAACG